TCTCGCGGTCCCTAAAACCGAAATCACCAACGCTTCTCAGATTTCTTTTCTGTCTAGCGGTTTGTAATAAATTTTTTTAATGATTTTTAGTATAATAAAAGCACACTATTTTAAAAATTGCCTCTAAATGATTTTCGGGATTTCACAACGCTCGTTTCGGTATGCACAAATCACGATATAATCCAAGTGATTTATTGGTTTGTATATACAATTATTTATTACTTTTAGCGAAATGGAAAAGTATGCCTTCGACATTTTTAGAAGCTTTTTTTTCGGGATTTCACAATAATCATTTCGGTATACCGAAATCCAGAGCTTATTATGTTCGGATTTTTATTATTTTTTGAAAAGTAAAAGAAGTATTCCTTAAAAAAAATTTAAATCTTTCTTCGGTATTTCACAATAACCTTTTCGGTATCCCGAAATACCGAAATTATCATTTTGCCTGTTGGAATGACATTCTAAAAGTAAGTGTTAAAATCCTTTACCTGAATATAAACAAGAAATTATGATCCAAGGTGATTCGGGACCAGGACCTAACATATTTTGCAATTTCGCATAGTAAATTCAGAATTAAATCAAATAGGGTATTCAGTGTTTAGGTACAAAATTGAACTGATTAACTGTTTTCAGCGATTAACCTAATGATCTAAGAACTTATTTAGTTCTTTCAAAAAAATTAGGTTAAGTTAGTGATGGTGCGGTAGCAATCCACAAGTATCCATATAACAAGGTTAAGCAATGCGAAAAACCGCTTCAAGTAAATGTCGGGTAGAATATATTCTCCAGAAAGAAATACTATGCAATATACTGTTCTAATACACTGAAACCAAGAAAGCCTATGGCTAAGGACTGTATGTTTTTCCAATTCAAATAAAACACGCTTCAGACTCAGCAAATAGTGTCTTAAATGAATCGTGTGCAAGAATATGAAATAACACACACACGCATAAAACACATGCATACATATGCCAACACAGCCACTCGTGCATACAAAAGTCGGCCTAACTATAACCTCTGTCTAAGGTTAAGAAACCAATCACGGCTTGCGGCAACAGAGCAGAAATATAAACAAACATTACAACAATAACAAAACGCTTACATACATCATGCATATGGCGCAGAACTTTTGTGTTGAATGCGAAAAGAAAAAAAACTGATAAAAGTGATGAAGAAAAAAAGAGCAAATTGAAATGGAGACAACTTAGCTGAAGAGACTGCAGACCCTGACTAAAAAAGTAAGCTATTCACACACACATACACATACACACACACAAGCACATTCTGATAAGTTTTAACAAGTAGGCTGAAGAAGGTTAAGATGTTCCGGTTGTCTGATTGTCAACGCCACTGTCACTGTCACGCGATGGCAGCGCTGTCATTGCCGTTATGTTATATGTGGTGGGTTTGATATTGCATATGCATATAAATATATGTATATTCTCATATACACCTATATGTATAGATTCATTGTGCTCATTTTGTGTTTCGTTTGTGCTGTACAATGTCTGTCTGTCAGCTGTATTCAATCGATGGGCGCGCTTGTGGGGTGCAAGGAGCCGGGTTTGTCGGCGTATACTTGAATATCCTTCGGTGGCGCACTTGGCATAGTTTTAGTTTACTTTTGCGGGCGCTCGATATTCAGACAATATGTTGGTTGCTGTTATTGTAGCACTAGTAGGGGTAGTACAATTCTGAGTTGTTGTTGTTGATTATCATTACTCTGTTGATTTTTTATTTTATTTTTTCTACTTTTGTTATTTATGCTGTTTGTTTTGCGATTTTTCATAAATGTGATATACTGCTACAATGTATATGTATGTATGTATGTATATGGGTCGCTGAGGAATTTCGAAGATTGAAGAGCAGTCACTGAGGACATGTTAAGATTATTTATCCCAGAATAATTTTTTCCGAAATTTCTTTAAAGCGATGGCTGGTTTAGAGCTTTTTAATATAGAAAACTGTTTAGTCTGCGTCAGCACGCTTCAAATATACATGAAATTTTGAAACCAGGAGACAAAGTTAGTGTTTCAGAAGCTACTTTGCTTAATAAGTAGAATATTTCGCCGTTCTTGTATGGTTTGACCATAACCCAAGTGTACAACTTTGATTCCATTTTCTCACCTGAGATCTTGGACATCAAGGCCGAAGATGTGCTTGCGAAATTCCAAGCTGATGTTGCTAATTCGACCGCCGTATCTCTATAAATTGGTTACCCAACCGTTGCTCTGGTACCGCCTAGTTTTGCCAATGATTTCGAGAATCTATTGGCTATTACTGCCGCCACCGAAGTGGATTTCAAGGAAGCTGCTACTCGAAAGTTTCTGACTCATTATTTTAAAAATGCAATGCCGAGTAAATTGTGGAGTACGATATGAAAGCAACACAGATTTATTTTGAAAAAACTATATTTGTAAGAAAGGCTGATGGTGTTATTGTGAAGTTCTGAACAGCAAAAATAAAACAAAGTGGCTTTGGAAATAAATTACAAGTGGAAACTATAGGGCTTATGCTCAGATTGGCATTGTACCATGAGCGATCAAAATCCCTATCAGTAATGTGAATTCTATTCTGGTTAAATCCGCCACTGCACAAACAATGTTCTAATATCCACTCGAATATATTGTTCTACTCGCATCTATAGAAGTTTAACATCCGCTTACTTCTTATTCAACAATGTGGAACGCTGATTTTTTGCACTCTCTAGCGGTAGAGAAGCCAATGAAAATATAAAATGTATGAAAATTAACTAATTTTTTATTCGCTATTCGAGACTTCCAGTGTGAGTTTTGGATTTTGTCGACCAGACTATTCAGAGGGGAGGCATATACCTATACCTAAAAAGTACACCTTGAGCAGATTATTTTTAGTTTATTATGAAGTTTATAACACGCAGAAGGCATTGTCGGAGATCCTTCAAAGTATTCACCCAAATAAATGATCTCCGTGACAAACTGGGTGGATTCAATCGTGTCCAACTGTCAGTATATATGTGTGTGAATTAATCTATCAATCAGAAATCTTGCGTTACCATTTTTTTATTTTTTTTTAGTAAAAACACAAATATTAAACATTGGGAAATAAAAGGTCCCGGAAATTGTGAATTAAACGCAAAGTATTTAAGTATTCATCAAGATTTATTTTGTGCTTTCAAAGTAAGCCCCACCAGATGATATATTTCTTATCGGCAGTTATAATGCTCTCCATGAATGTTAGATCGGAATTCGCGCGATCAAGAATGTTGAAAGAGATACAAAAAACTCACCAATCCATTCGAACGGACTGGTGAGAGATGTCGAGCTTTCTTACCATCTCTATAATACTTGCCGTTTTCTTCGTTTATTTAATATTTTCATCAGTTGAAGAGCTCGAAGGTCGTCCAGAACTCGACATGTGTTCGACGATCTCTCCACCGTCTTTAGGCTTGTATTTTTGAATTCCCGTAAACCTTTTCCAATATGCACAACGACTACTGATGTGCACTGACATACATAAGTAGCTGCTGTCAGCAAACTGGTGGACAGATCGCGCTCATATTTGGTATATTTTTTGGAAATATCATTTGCCCGGGTGCTTTTTTGCCACAATGCATATTTATAGATTTCGGAAATTTATAAACTTTTATGCAAAACTTACGTTTTATCGCTTTTGCGAAGTAAATATTAGTAAAACTCATATTTTTTGTAGTTTTATATTCTATTGTGGACTAAAATATTGTTTTTCTCAAATTAACTACTCAGACTTGAACTTACATATATGTATATTTGGTATATATCGTCGCCAAAAATGCAAAATAACGTAACATCCCTTTTCATAAGTTTACAGGTAAGGAAAAACGAGATAATAAAAACCACTTCTTTTGAAACAAATTTTGAGTTTTTTTATAAAATAGTTATATATTGGTTATTATATCTGTCAGCGATTTTCTATTTTTTTTATGATGATTTAAATAAATAACCTTTTTTTTTTGCTACGTTGATATCATTACATGTCTCGATATTATTTATTTTTTCTTACTCTTTACTCTATTGATTGAATTATGCGGCTTAGATTCAACGTTTTGTATATCGCTCTGTCACCGCTCTACATTCTACGCCACTACTATCATTACGACGACGAACTATGCTTCCATTCAAACAACTATTGAATTTTTTTCTATATTCTTTATGCTATTAATACATCAATGTATAGAATGTGAAAGAGGAAAGTGGCAAAAGTGTATCATTGCTTTATCACATTCGCCGCTATCGAAATCTTATCAATCACTAAAAAATCGTTGCATTCTCACGGCGCTAATAAATGGCTTGGCGTCAAATCATTTGTGCAAACTTGTTGCAGCGCTTGTGGTGCTACCCGCCGTCAAGTGCTATCATCCATCAAACACTTATTCAATGCTTAAGTGAAATTTTATATGTGTACTTGGCAAGCATTTATTTTAGTCCCGTTCACCGTTAGGAGGTAAACTTTCTTAAGTTGTGAGTGCAAAATTTATAAATGACCCTTGGTCAGCAATTAGATTACGTAAATGGCAGCTCAAAGCTGCGCTGCGATATTTCATCGCTTTTGACACGCCAAAGTGTTTTCACTATTTTACCCTTCGCTTTGTTATTGTTGTTGCCTTGTTTCTTGTTGTTTGTGACCACAAGCTTGTGTTCGGGTGTTCATGTGCCCGTGCTGCCACGCATCCTTTATTTACTTAACATTTGCTAACAATTTACATTTAAGTTATTGGCTTGGCGGCTGGTGTGCAGTGGTGGTGGCCGCGGTGCCAGTTTATAACTGTCGTGAATCAATTTGCACAACTAGTTTTCAGTTTGTGTGAGAAATAGTTGCAGCCAGCTATGTTAAACACGGCGACATCATTAGTGGCATTTTTATATCAGCTCGTCGAGACAGTCACTTATACATATAACTGTGGGTGTTCATGTGTATGTGTGTATGCGTATGATAAATCACATTTGTGTGTCGTATTTTTATTCTTGCTTTATTTTACTCACCGCCCTTGGAAGCACTGAATGTGCGCAAACGATCCAGATCTTCATCATCGTCGCTGACACGCAAATGATGCATTGCGGGCACATCGAGGAACGCATTTGATTTTCGCTGTGCTGAAAGTGTAACCAAAATAAAAAATATATACTGTTAGTGCATGTCAAAAGAAGCTGTGTGCAGTATTTACACTTGTTTTTGTGATTGATTACTTGCTACAGGAAAATATGTTATAAATATTTTATGTTTATTTAAGGGTTATGCATATAAAGTAGGGTTGCTCATACGCCATGTCCGCCAAGCTATGATGAATCGTGTTTTGTGGCAAAATTTTAGAATTGGTGCGAATGCATTTAGATTTCACAATTCATTAAGGTCGTGTTATGAATTTTTAAATTCAGTATAAATATAAAATAATAATTTTTTAGATGGCTGAGTTATTGTGCTCAAAAATACACTCAGTTCAGACCATACAATTTTTTTTAGTCTAAAGTCAAATGCTCAGATATTTTTTTTAGCTAGGAAAAATATAAAGCGAATGACAACCTTTATTTATTATTTTGCAAATTATCAATTTTAGTATTTAAACTTACGAATTTTAGAAAAAAAAAATCAATTTAAATTTTTCGAACATTTAGGATATAAGAAAGTTAAAATTTAATGCGGCAACCCTATTAAATACTTAAAATAGTAAAATACTAGGGATCTTGTTATTGCTGTAGTGATAGGTACTTAATTCTGATTAGTTAAATATTTCCGATTAGTTGGCAACCCTAATAAACCAATAGTTTCTTAATACTTGTTCAAGTTGGCAAAACTAATCCGAAATATATTCATAGTGTTTCCATTACTAATTTCTGTTTTTTAAGTTGGAAAAAAATATAATGCTAATGGCAACCCTAATTCATTATTTCACAAATTATTGATTTTAATATTTAACTTTACTAATTTTAGAAAAATTTTTTTTTTCAAATTTATCTTTTTCGAACATAAGAAAGTTAAAATTGTATGTGGCAACCCTATTAAATATTTTGAATAGATAAATGTTCTCTAGCATCATTGCTTATAAGTACATACTTAATTTACGTAATTACTTTCGATTAGTTGGGAACCCTTATCAAAAAATTAGTTATTTTAAAAGTTCAAATTAGTTAACCAGTTGTCAACTTTAAGCAGAAATTTATTCATAATGTTGCCATTAGTAATTCCTTTAATTCATTAAGTAAAATATTCCACATAAACGTATTTACCTGGCGACTTTAAATTTTTTTTACAATGCACGCTATACTTGTCAAAGGTATCTGGACTCATTTATTAGTTGAGTGCAAAATTTTTCAAATAGAATTTGCTTTATAATTTTGAGAAAATAAAAATTCTTGAATAAGCTTAATTTTACTGCAAAAATTTAAACTTTAATATGGTTAGAAACACAGACTCAATTTTATATATGTGTACAGCTTACAAGGGGTATCGCATTCAGTTATATTTTTGAAAATAAGCCTAATTTGATAAAAAAAAGTAAAACAGATATACATATGTAGTTGGCAACCCTGACTTGGTTTTTTTTATGCATAAATAGATAAAGTTTACAAGAGTTATCGCTTAAAGTTAAATTTTTGAAAAATAAAATTTGTTTAAAAAAAATATATACGCAAATATGGTTGGCAACCCTGATTCGATTTTTATTTATATAGATACAGAAGTTGTGCTGTTTTCTAGAAACTTTAATGAATTATAAATTTTTAAAGTGTTTTTAATGACTTATTTTCACAATATGGCAGCCCTGTTACACAATTGATGAGAAAGAAGTATGTGCCAAATCATTTTTATTATTTTTATGGTAATTAGGATCCTGCATAAAATGTGATTTTCAATTCCCAAATGTTGCAAAATAGTTTTGTCTAAAAAAATGCTTAAATACACATATATACATATGTACTTGTATACATATGCATCCTTAATGTATACCACAACCTTCATTATATAATACAATATATTTTTCCTGCACTATAACTATGCACAAACAAATTTCTATAAAAAAAAGTCATTGCTACTTTTATTTACTTATTTATCTTCCAACTCAAATTTTCAACACTAATTTCCCATGTGCATGCGCCAACTCATGTTACATATACGCCCTGCGTCATCCATTTGCAATAATCATTAGAGCAAGCAGTCGATCATAAAACTATAAAAATTACACAAATTGCTAGTAAATTCAGCGCTAAATGACAAAAAAGACAAACCAACTGCACGAACATAACAATTTCGCATCGATTTTCGTGATTACGCGCCACTATGCGGACATTACTCATACGCCACGTATCACACATTTATATGGCTTTTAATCTACTTTTGCGGTAACAACGCTTTTTCTGCCATTAAACGTACGTTGCCGGAACAAATGTTAATGCTGCAGTCAACACGCCGTGCACTGCCGAATAACGGCATGCTAAAACACACACATTTCCATATATAAGTAAGTATAAGCGTATACTCATGCATGTTTATGAAGCAATGAAATGATTGTAATTAGCTGCGAGTTTAATTAAATGTTGGCACCACATTAACCCCAACATAAATTGATGCACACAGCGCGCTTTCTAATGTGTGTGCGTATGTTTGTGTGTGCGCGCAAGCATATTTTTGATTTCATACTTATATGCTTATGTGTTGTTTGTCTGTGGCATACGAAATTTGTAGGTGTGGCACTTTGCGGTGTTTTTGTGTTTACTAAGCAGAGGTACTTGCGTATTAGTATATGCCATCGCTGTTGTCTGTATCATTCTTGCTTTGTGGGGTATTACCAGAATTAATTCATAATTTCGACACATGTGGCGCTGTTGATGAAACGGCTGTTGCCTGTTGTGCATATTTTTCGCATTTATATTTGAATACTTTGCGATGAAACTCAGCTCAATTAGTTTTCTGTGCCCATTTTGGTATAGATGTAATGCAACTTTGCTCAGCAGATAATGCAAAAATTTTTTTAATAAACTTGCAGGAATCATTATACCGCATGAAAGCAGATGTATGTAATTTTGTTTATGAGATTTTACCTTAGAAACACAGTTGTTCAGGCTTCCCCTTGGGTGTATTTTTAGGCTTGTTTTGAAATTAATAAACTTTTTGTAGTGAAGCCATACTTTTCTCCCACTCAAAAAACATTTTTTTAACATACATGTTTATAGATTTGAATTATAATAATATAAAGCTATATTAAAGAAAAGAAATTTTTGTAATTTTAAGAAAAAGAACTGTTCCCACCTAAAACGTTTTAAGGTTTGGATTCAATAACGAAAAGCTAAAATAAAGTAAGCAATTTTTTTGGAGAAATATGTATTTCCCCTGCGGGTAACAATATGTTCTAAATTAAAAAAAATGTTTAAAAGTTTGCATATTTTATTTTCCCTGCGGGTAATAATTGGTTCTAAAGTAAGCAATTTTTTGTTATTTTTATAGAAGGAAATCTGTTCCTATCTAAAAAGCCTTCTTTCTTTATTTTTCTCAGTGAGTAATAATAAGTACTATGTTCTAAAGTAAGCAAATTTTTTGAATTTCTTTTGAAAAAAAACTATTCCCACCTAAAAAGTTTTCCTACTTTATTTTTCTCAGTTGGTCTTATTATGATCTAAAGGTTGCTCGTAAAAACAGCAAATCCTAAAAACTATTTACATGCAAATGTTTCTTACTAAATATTTTCAGCTGAAACTCAGATTTGTCAGAAATTACTCATCAAGTATAGTGGATGCCTAAGTTAAAACTGTAAACTCCAAATAACTTTAAATGCTATTGTATTAGAATTCTTGCATTACTTTAAAATCTGTTACCAGCTACACTTAAATATAATTAATTAGTGAGTTTTTAGGGTTCATACTTTTAAAAAGCTGAATGTAATGAAAGGTAGAATTTTTTATGATTTATTTTTATATACATAACTCCAAAACATAACGAAGAGTACGAAATTATGTGACGATTACTCTCGATTCGCTAGTTTCWTCAATGCAGGGTTTAATTCAAAGTTTTCCAACAAACATTTACTACCAAAAATAATTGGATGAATAATAAATARACTGTTCTCAGTTGAAACTGTTCCCATAGTAAATCTATTCCTAGACGCAATGGTCTTCACCGTAATAAAATTAATTAACTAAAACTAATTTCGCTTAAAACTGCTCCCACTGTAAAACTGTTCCTACTCACAAAATAATTAGTTTTRACCTTTCGACAAGCCKTTGCAGCCACTTTAACGTTATCTTTCCAATTTCATGAAACGCTCGTAAACATAATATCGCAAAACTCTCAGTTAAAGAATCTTTAGAAAAGTTTTTTTTACTGTTTCCGTCAATATACTTCAATTCGAAAGATGCATTACAATTTTTACTTGATCTCATTAAGCATTCTAGTAAAATACAATGATTCCTTAATAAACTTTACGATGAATATAGAACTGAAGCACATCTTTAGGCGCATTGCCCAAAACTCTTAAAGACCAACCTTAAAGCTATGTCTACATCACTATCTTGTATTCCAGTACAAAACGAGTGAGCCACCAACATTTTCAGGCAACTTGTCTGTATTTCGTGAGAAGCATAAAAGTAAATACTTCTGTCTGTTTCTCGCARAAAACTTAATAAAAAGAAAACATGCGCGCTCGGCAGCACACTTATGCTTAATAATTGAGCAAACTTGAAGGCGTCTAATGGCAGAAAGCTGAAGTTGACACCCGTCAATGCAGTGTGTGATAGCGAGCTGTGGTAGTGAAGAGACGGTAAAAAGTTGCCAGATTTACTTGAGTTCAGTTGTAAATTTATGACTTCCCCGGCGCTTTCGCCCCAAGGTTTTTGTGATACGGAAATTTCAACTTAAGAATTTTTATTTTTATTTGCTTTTCCACTTKTTTGTTTTTTTCTTCATTTCTTTATATACATATATATATATTTTTTTAATTTTTTTTTGTTGTTTTATACTTATTTTTTGTTTCTGACTTTTAAGGTGGCAGCGCATTATAATTATTATGCTACCATACTTTTTTGCTTTTTTGCGGTTGCTTTTCATATGAAACAGTTTATGTTCATATGAATTTATGATATGCGACCATATGTACTCTGRCCCTTTT